GTGTGTGTGTGTGTGTGTGTGTGTGTGTGTGTGTGTGTGTGTGTGTGTGTGTGTGTGTGTGTGTCTTGTGGAGTAATTAATCCAAATTTTAAATTTTTGGTTCAAATCATCATCAGTATCTATGGAGGTCAGGTCAGGCCAAAACTATAACAGTGAGTATCTACAGCCATCTGTAAAACACGGTGGATGCACTGTCATTGTTTGGGGCTGCATTTCAGCCAGTGTTGCTGGAGATCTTGTCAAAACTGATGGAATTATGAATGCAGAAAGGTATGGTCAGATTTTGATCTACCATGCACTACTATCTGGAAAACATCTGATTGGCAAATACACTGTCAATGCAGTCAAAACATGCCTAGATAGAAAAACATGGATTGGCCCCTCCAGACCTTGGATCTCAACATTAATGAGGCAGTGTGGGATCAACTTGAGATGGAACAGAACAAAAGACACTTAGCATCCAAGGAAAAAGTTTGAATGTCACTTGAGAATCTTGGACAACTATTCCCGAGGAGTACTTATGACAAAGCTTGCTGAGAGAGTTCAGGCTGTGGTAAAGAATAAAGGTGGTCACACCAAAGATTGACTTTCAAGTGTTATAAACTGTATTTCTATGAATGTTTGCACAGATTTCTCATTTTCCTAGGAAAATATAAAGAAGTTCAAATAATGCAGTTCACGTGACCTTTCAAGCGCGCGCGAACCCACTATTTGAACCCCGGAACACCATACCACGGTAATTGTAGAAACTAATGGTGGTGGTGCGTGTATGCGCCCAGATCAGCTGTCTGCGGCCCGGGACGGTGTAACTCCGTCACAGAGGGCCTTTGCACAGTACCGTATTGAAAGAATATAAAATTTACCTTTGTAATAGAGTATGCGTCAAGTACTGCCGGTGTTTAACCACTCACAAATTAGTACGTGGAACAGTGCAATTACATTCAAATTTTCTGTTATAAACTACGGAAATGAAAGTATAAGTCATACCAGTTCCTGTTTAGTCCCAATCAAAACCAATTCTGCATCAGATTTTGTTTCTAAATCTGCACCGACCTTTATACTGTGACTCACCTCTCAGCGAGTTTGTGTCTGGTCTGTAGCACATTAGCTGTGGCCATAAATGTGTTTGACAGATTTCATACGAGATCAAAGCATAGGAAAGGACGTGGCGTGTTTAGATAATGTCAACACTGGACGTCAAAGCCTAGGAGACTGAAGAACGGCACGTCAACATTGATCAAAACCTAATATGTGTCCTAATTGAGCAACAAATACTTTGATTGTCATTTAGAAAGTACCAACAAGGAGAAACTGTTTCCAGAAGAAGTAAGAATGTTTTGGGTTCAGGCTTTCTCTCTTGGGTGTTGTGGTTTTCCTCCTACAGTTCAAAGAAATATGCATTGGCTTATTTGCTTGTTCTGAATTTGCTATTAAGTGTGGGTGTGAGCATGAATTGCTGTCTTTGTCTGGCAACCTGTCAATGGGTGTACCCCGACCTTTTGCCCAGTGACAGCTACAGTCATGTGAAAAAATACATCTTTGACTCATAAAAATTAAGAGTTTAAATAGCAACCAGGTGCTCCTAATCAAATTTTAGATGTATAAATTCATGGATTTATGAACTATGAGCTCCTCTGTATACCAAAGTACTTTAGAGCTTGGCTGAAATCGGATGATGCAAAGAATAAATGATCTGCAGCACGGCACCAAATCTACAAGAGAAGGGCTGAAAAAGAAAATAATCAAGGTATTGCAATGGCCCAGTAAAAGTCCAGACCTCAACCCAACTGAATCGCTGTGCCGGGACCTTAAAAGAATGGTACATAAACGAATCCTTGCAAACCCCAATGAACTGAAGCAACACTGGGGTCCAGAATACTGGACCACAATGATGTGAGAGACTGATAAAGTCATACAGAAAACAAGTACTTGAATTTATTGCTGCTAAAGGTAGTTCTATAAGCAAATGAATCATGGGGTCACAGAACTCCTGAAAGTCTTGTAAAAACGTTCTTTTCCACAGGAGTGTAGACAGGCTCCAGACTTCCTCTGAGCCTGAATTGGTCAAGAAGTTACGAAATGATGGTTAAATTGTTTAAAGGTTCGCTATCCATCGGTATACAGGAAGTTGAATCTTTCTGCATGTCTAAATGCATCGAGTTGCTGTCTTTGTTTGATTCCTCATACACAGTAATTTGAAATGGGGGCAATGAGTGCCTGCCTCATGCCCCAAAGTGTTTCTCACTTGCTTCTCAGTACCCATAGCTGAGAAAGCTGTGGTTTCGGAGGTATTCGTGTGTATGTTTCACTGTGCGCGTTGGAGGGTCTTTGTCCATGGGAGAATGAGCTTAGATAGAAACAAACTTCAGAAAGCGTTTCAAGACGGCATTTCAAAAGCCTTCCTTTTGATAATGATGAGCGTCAGGTTGATGAGGGCTGTGATTGATAACAAACAGATGTCGAGGTGGCGTCGAGGTTAGGCAGCCACGCTGTGACAGATTGAACTTCGAGCACAGGTACCGTGGCGGTATCTGTTTAAATGATGATAAAGCAGGAATTTGTTTAGAAGTTGTAACAGGACGCTGCGGTTTCTGACTCACACTTCCTGTGAGATGGCACAAAGTCAGGGGGATGTCCTATTGTGTACTGACCAACATCAACCATTTTGATAAATAGTGACAGTTAAATTATCCTGCTTATATAATCTAGGTTTGTGTATCGCCGTGTTTGTGCAAAGCCCATTCTTTTAACCGAATAGATTGTTGTGATTTGTGGTGTGTGTGATCAAATTTGCTTACATTACAGTGTATTTAACTGACTTTTTTCCCAGCACAAGTCAAAGAGAAGTGTCTGCTGAGTCAAAAAAGAAAAAAAAAAAAAAGCTTGAAAGTGATGGATGTTGTGTTGCTTACATGTGGCAAAGTAGACCAACAAGGCTATGGAATTTCATGCTTCAAGTATGTCAGGGGTGCTTTACTTTAACATGGCCTCTCTGGCATTTACTGATGGTGTCTATACACTGTAATTTATACGAGCTGAGTGGTGTTTCTGTTTAAAGCGAGGGCTGAAGTCTTTAAACTTTTTACAGGCTGGCTGTAGTCTGTCTGTACACCCTATGGATGTGATTAGCAAGCAGAAACAAAAACTACATGCTCAGCTTTGAAAGGTTCTTCAAAGCAGCATTAATGTAGAATAAATGGCAGAGATTGTTTTGCAAAAATACTCGAAAAATAGTCTTTTCTGTGTGCGTATTTTTCGAGCTCCGCGATATCAATAATACCACATTTTTAGTGACTGAAAATAAAAAGAAGTGGGGTTGTTCTACATAGCAGAGCTTGGATGGAGAGGACTGCTGCATAAAAACAAATTTGTCTGTCAACCTGTGTTTGTTTGTGCGTTAAAGATGAATGGAAGAGGAAGAAGTTGTGATATTTGGAGGGAGATTGTATTCATCATACACAAAAAAAGGGCCGCACAGGAACCAAATATCGTGAGAGGAAGTTTCTGCTTCTTCCTCTGAGATTGATGGCGCGGAGGAGAGCATGGGAGTGACCTTGACTTGGTCATGAGAGTGCTGTGAGCTCAGCAAGAAATAGAGAGGGAGAGTTTTTAATCAGTAAACAGCCTCTCTCTCACCCTTTAGGAAGTAAACACACAAACATTAGGCGCTCTGCCATCATAGCGTATGGCCTTGAGGATTTAAATGGTTGCAATAAAGACAGATGGCAAATTGGTTGATAGGGAGGGGAAAGATGTCTGGAGTTTGAAAATGAAAAACAAAATTTAATAAAGAAATTAGACTAAATGAGCCCAGGCATCATGTTGTCGTACACATTGTTTCCAAAAGCATTTGCCAAATGGTGTTTTTTTTGCATATCTGTAAGCATCTTTTGATACTGTCATCCAGAGATTCGGGCTGTTTACTGAGTCATACTACAGTCACTCTCATTAAAAAAAGAGACAAAATACTTTGTTCCAGCTGCTCAAAAACGATTCAGCTTCTTATAAACTGCGTATGGGACCACTAGCTATACAGTGCTGTCCAAAAATCTTGAGCCACCCTTCATGTGCAACTTATGTGCAAACGTATGTGGAAATATGGTATATAAGGCAAAAAACAGAGTTTGTACAATTCTAATGAGCTTCAAAGTCAATCTTTGGTCTGACCACCGTTACTCTTCATCACAGTATGAACTCCAACAGCAAGCTTTCTTGTAGTTTCTTTAAGTCATTTTGAGGAATAGTCCTCCAGGCTTCCTGAAGGACATTGAAAGCTCTTGTTTGGATGTTGGCAGCCTTTTGTTCCATTTTCTGTCAAGATGATCCCACACTGCTTCAGTAATGTTAAGGTGCAGGGTCTGGGGAGGACAGACTGATGCATTTTTCTATCCACGTGAGCTTTGACTGTATTCGCAGTGTATTTGGGATCCCTGTCATGCTGAAAAATGAAGCTGTTTTCAGTCAGAGGCTTTCCAGGTGTTATTTCTGACTCTTCTTTTCTGTATTAATGTCATCAATTTTGTCAAGATCCCCAACACCATGAGCTGTGTTGGGGATCTCCACTGTGTCTTATAGAATCCTACTGACTGTACTGCTGCTTGCTTTGCAAAATCCCACCAATGAACGACAATGATAAAGGAAACTACAATCCTAGCATATCAGCTGGGACCCTTTCAAGTAGTCAAATTTGATGCATAGCACACTGTTAAATCTGACTTACCCTATCTATAATTACTTTTCAACCCACCTCTATCCCACCCTGTTCTTGTTGTGTTGTGTTTGATTTACTGAGTGCTTTTCACATGTAGGCACTGGAGGATGGGATGGTCCCAGAACAAATAATATTGGCCAATCTAAATTACTGCAGCTGGAAATAACAAATGTTAACTATAGTTATTCTAATTGAACTAAGGGTTAATTTTATTTTACCATCTAAAATCTTTGCTAATAATCCTTATTTCAAATGTGCATTAC